CTAGATGTTTGAGATTTTGTGGTTCAAAACCATTATACAAAGCTGTTAAACCAGATGTAAACTATAAACCTTTCAATAATAGTTCCCAGAATACCTTCACAAATCCATTTCTGCCGACACTGGAGGCTGTCAAACTGTGTTCCAAACCAGGAGTGTGTAAATGAGAACGAATCACAGCTGTGTCATTAAACAGGATAATCTGGAATCCATGGAGCATGTTATTTGGTCTGTCCCAATTAAAGAAGTATGTGGCAGGGCTTTCTTCCTGGTAACACTGATGTAGATCTGCAATGATGTAATGTGATTGCAGTGAAATTACTTTTCACATATTTATAAGCGAGAGAGTGACTGTCATCACTCATCAGTGAGCAGATGGTGTCATTTTCATAGCTCTGACCTATTTTCATTTCATGTTCTCAAAGATCTTTGCATATTAACACAATATAATACTAAATATTAGGCTTTGTCCACCAGATTATCCTTTACCCCATTCAAGTATTAAATTTAATATACATAGAATCTACCTTAAAATTTCTCAAATTTCTGAGGACATACTCCAGGATTCTCAACTTCACGCATCCTTTTTAGTGCCACAGAATTGCATTTTTTTTTTAAATCAATATTTGCCATCTTTATTCCCATAGGAACACATCTTAAGGTCAATTAACTAATGGGTACATTAAGACCAACCTGAACATCCTAGAATTGTACCATAATGATCCTGGTCATAGCTGCTGTATATGAGATGTGAATAATGATGTTGTTCTGGCATACTGCTTAGAATTAATGAACTATTATGAAGGGGAATAATAGCCATGATGACCACAATGGAAAGAAATGCTCAATTAAATTTAAAATCCTATTATATACACATGGTGTCAGCTTAAGGGAAATATTGCTCTTATGCATCTCAGTAGGAAAGATGATCACTTCCAACAAGAAGATTATACTATAGATTATGGTACTGTTCTACAAATACCTTTAAATTTTGTATAATTAAGCACAGC